TTTTTAAACTTTAATTAATTAACTTATCAATATATTGACTGATTGATTAACTCGTTGATTGATTAATTGTGTTGTCATAATTAAATGACAATCTATTGAGTTGTAGTTGTTGTTGTTGCAATTGGAAAAGCAAATTTGATGATAAGAAAAAAGCTAATTAATTATAACGATTTAATTGCAATTAATATTTTTTTTATGGTTGATTGTGTGAAGAGTCACAGAAAGTTAATCAATTGTAATTTAATTAATCAATCCTGTAGATTGACTAGATTGTAATTAAAGTTAATTTTTGATAACAATCAACAAGGATAAGTACAGGACAAGTTAATCCAATAGAAATGAAAAACTTTTTTTTTTTAAATTGTTTCGATTTAGTTAATGATTAGTTTAGTTAATTAGTATCATCACTTTGATAATTAACAACATTAATTAGTTTGGAAATTTAAACTTTCGTTGTAATCAAATATGATGATGAAAATTTTAAGGGATAAATGAAAATGAATAATTAAATTTCATCATTTCGATAATGAGATTGATACTAATCATTAAGCCACCAGGTAAATGATTAAAGATTAAGATTAAGATTAAGATTAGAGGCACATCTTCATTAATGAAACCACCATGATATTTATTCAGATAATTGTGATTATCATGATATCATATTTCCAAAAGGTAAACTCATAGGTTTATATATTAGTTGTTTACAATTCTTGCTCAAGGATAATATGAAAATGACCTCAGGTCATTTGGCTGTCCAAGCAACTTTAATCTTAATCCAATGGTTGATTATCAACGGTGACAATTTTCAAATTGTTTCCCTTACGATTATCTTTATCTAATTGTTATCATTAAGATGAAGATGATAATTGTTATTTTACCTGGAAAAAAAAAGTTATATCAATTGTTGATAATATTGAAAGTTAACTGATAAGACATTTAAACTGGATTAAGTTAATTGGCAGGTAATCGGTCAAGTTTGTTGTTGGTCAAACAATTTGGCGGGAAAACAAAGAAACCACATATTGAATAACTGATTTAAGATAAAAATAAATAATTGATAATAATAATTGTCATTATCGTTGGTCAGTCAATTGGTCAGATGAAATGATAAAAAAGGAGATTGGAGTTGATTAACCTTACAGAGTTTAAAGGCAAATGAAATTGATATTTTTCCCTTGAGTATGATGGATATGATGATGGACAATTAGTGGACAGACAAACAAAGGTAAATATGATGTTATGAAGATGAAAGGTGATGACAGGTAAAAGAAACAAAAATATTAATGGTTGACAAATTTTGCGAAAAAAAAATTTTCTAACAGGATTAAGATTAAGAAAAAGATTAACAAGTAAAGCAGAAAACTTGAAAACGGAAATTGATTCTGCCTCTTTCATCATCATCATCATCATGATAATCTTCATCTTAATCATCATCTTCATCCTTGATCATCATCATCATCATCTTTAAGAGGATTTAACAATTTTCTAATGATTATGATTATGATTATGATGATAATTAAAAGTTTATACTCTCAACTAATGGCTACTGTTACCTGTAAATAAACAAGACAAGTAGCAGGTAAGGTGATTATCAAGTTAATTAAATTAACTTTAATTTTATCATTAAATTTAATCAATTTCTTTGCTCTCTCTCTCTCTCACTTTTAATCCAGTTCAATGGTTACAATTAAAAAAGAGTAACAATTGGCCGAGTTAATGATTAAATTTGATTATTGATGATTGAAACATTTTCTAGATCACAATTAACCTGATACATTGTGTTCAGTTGTTGTTTAATTGTCACATCATTTTGATGATTAATTAAGAGAAAAATTAAAGATAATTGTGATTAGTAATTATTACTATTATTAAATCATCACAATGAATTACCTGTTAATAGTAATTATCCTTTGATAATCATAATCATCACTTAATTCAGTTATATATCAGGTAAATTGCTTAATCGAGAATATGATTAAAGTTGATAATTGTTTTCTTTTTTTTCTTAATTCAGTTTAAATCATGATGATGATGATGATGAAGATGATGATAATTTATATTATCTTTTAATGATCTTATCAACATCTAATTAAATTGCTTACGATTTTTCTTGTCTTAATAGTAATTAAGACAATTTATTACCGGATTTGATTGTAAATTAAGTGTTCGGATTAATATTATTATTGGATAAACATTGAAATAAAATCAACAACAACAATTAAGAGAAACTAAATTAACAACAATCAAATGATTATAGAGAAAATTAATTTTCCCAATTTAATAGCTGGTGAGTTTGATTGTAACACTTTGGGCAGAGTTAATTGTTACTTGATAATCAAGGATAAAGTTGATTAGAAACAATTAATCAATTGGTTTTGTATTGGAAGAAAATTAAAATCCTTGTGATGATTATCATTAATTAACTAAATATGATTAAGAAATTTAATAATTCCTAATATAACCAACAATTAACATAACCATTAAATTAATTATGCATCCGATTAATTGTTGATGAAAGTTACTAATATTATCCTATTAATTAGTTAACCTTGATTAAATTGTTTCCACATTAAACAATTGAATTAACTGTTAACACAAACCCTTTAATTAGTTAATTAGTTTCATCCCTTATCAATAAACTAAATCAGTTAATTATTTAAACTAAATTGTAAGATTTTCAAATAAGTAATTAATCATAACCATTGATCAAGATACAAATGCAAATATCCGTATAAACAATTAATGATTTAAATTGTTGGTAAAATAATTAACCTTAATTGTGAAATAATTTAGCAAACAAAAGGTTATCATGTTCAATGTTTAAATCAAATTAATACTAAGTGATTATTGTTCAATGTCAAGTTGATCAACAATCAATTGTTGAACAATTTAAATTGTCAAAAAGATAAACAGTAAATAATATCAATGGTTATCATCTTAATCATTGAGAATTAAAATAAACAGCAATTAAGATAAACAAATCAAGATGATTAACAATTGAAAATAAAGTGACCCGAAATTGTTGCTGGTTTTTTGTTTCGAGAAGCAAAAAAAAAACAACAAATCTAAAGGTGAGTTTGGGTGATGAGGATGAAAAGATGATGATGATGATGATGAGAAAAGCGTGTTTTCTTTGTAAAGGAGATGATGATAAAGATGAGAGGAGGGAGAGAGACATAGGAGATTGTTGTTTGCAAACTAGTTTCACCATAGAGAGAGAGAGAGATGGAGAGGGAGACAGAGAGAGTGGGGTGGTAACATGTTGAGAATCAGGTTTGAGAGAGAGGAGCTCATACCTTTCAATGTAAACTTTGCCTGAGGCGAAATTTTTTTTGCACCCAAACCAGACATCATCATCATCTTTATCATCATTTTCTCTTTTCTCTCTCTCTCTCTCTTTGGCCTCACAAGATTAGATCATCTTGTGAGTGCATCTCTCATCTTACCTGGTGGGTCCTTAACTTGTTTGGTGGTCCCTTCACCCTTACCATTCAAATGTTAGGGCTTACGAATGAAAGTTTTTACCATTAAACATTGATGAAGATCTCACAATGTTATTATATTAATAATAATATTATTTACAACAAGATGATAAAGATGAAGAGATGAGGATAATCATCTTCATCATGATGATGAACAAGTTTTCTCTCTCATCCAATATGAAGATGAGGAGTAACAAAAATCGCAATGATACTCAATTGATGACCAACATTTTAAAGGGAAAAACTTTTCAAATTCATCATAAACTTGTCAACATAAAGTCAATTTCTCCTTATTGTTTGTTTCCCTTTGGGTCAACTTTTACCTGGACAAAGGGGTCGAACCGTTAATCCGTTAATCCAATAGGATTTAACAAGATTTACTTTTACAATTTAACAACAATTTGTAATTGCAACAATCATCATCATCATTTGTTTATCATTAGTTGTATACAAGTTTACCAATGATAATAAAAAGCAAAGTTAACAATAAAAAAAAAAGTTTAAATTAGATTTGCAAAGAGAAGCAAAAACCTCAACAACAATTAACTTAATCATTGGGATATTTATACCAAATAGATTATGTAATATTGTGATTACTAATTTCTTAAAGGATAAATTGTAATTGTAAATGTAAATTAAATGATTAACTTTGTTATCTTTATGTGATTATCTAATTATTACCTGTAAATGTTTACTATTTTTTTTTACATGTAAAAGTTTTTTGCTCTTACCTTTAATTTATGATTATCATTTGTGATTAGCTGATTACCATTAACAAATCAATTTACAATTATTACAACAATCAAGCCAATAACACAGAGATGAGGTAAACAATTACAAGAGCAACAAATTGTATAGCATTTTGTGATCAACAATTAACTGATTATTATTACATCTACGTGAATGTAAAGGTAAAAAACTTGAAAATGGTGAATATATTTTTACAATGTTACCTTAATTGGTGTCATGCTGGGTAACATTATTTTAAGGTGATTGCTTCCTACTCATGATGATAATCATGATATGATGATGATGATGATCATCATCATCATCATCATCATCTTTATTACAATTTAAGGACAATCACGCAATCATGTCTTCTTGTCATGTGTCTAGGGTTTTGTGTTACTGTTACTATTGTTTGTTGATACCTTTTATTTTGATATATTCAACAATTCAGCTAATCAATATCAATGGAAACTTAAAGCCAATCAAATGAAAGGTAATTTAATTGGGTGTGTCCCATAGGTTGGAACATAGGTAGAAATTATCATTAGACAGGTAAATGGGATGTTTGACACTTTCAATCCAAAAGAATAACGAACAAAAAAAAAGAAACAAATTGTAAGGATTATCTTATAATCATCTTCATCTTCATCTTCATCCTCATCTCTTTACCTGTATTCTCATCATGTAGGTGCGTTTCTTAACCTGTCAAAACACACTTAACTTTGATTACTCATTTTAGAATTAATCTTTTATCATTTAATTAGTTTTATCGTAAGATTATCGGATTCAAAAAAAAAGTTCATCATCATCATGATTACATGATGATAATCCTTTATTATTATTAACATGTTAACAAATAAACAAACAAAGGTAAACATTGTCATTGGAAACTTGGTAAATCAAAATGTTATTTGCTTCCCTGCTGATCAGTTTATCTTAATAATATATCAAGTTTTGGTAATCAACTTAAAATCCTGATGATAATCAAATATTACAGATGATAATTTAGAAGGGATTAACGATTAGATTAATCTAATCATCATCCTTGTTTCATTCAGTATCTTTCTCTCTCTCTCTCTCAGTCTCTTTTTTAAATACAGGTAAATAAATTAATTTGGTTCATCTATGGTTACAAATATGAAGAATTTTTTTTCGTCGTTGAAGAAGAGGAAGAAGGGAAAAAAGCTTGAGAATCTTCATCATCATCGACAACATCTTCATTATCATCATCTTCGTCTTCTTCTCCATCCTCCTTTTCCATGGTGGAATGATTATAAAGCCCTTGGGCCATTAGGTGAAGAGCCAATGGATTACGTGAGCCGGTTGATTTCTTAATCTTGGCTCGTTTATTTTGGAACCAAATTTTAATCTGAGATTCATTTAGCTTAAGATCTCGTGCCAATGCTTGACGACGTTTATCATTTAAATATCTGTAACACAATTGTCATCAAAGGATGGAGAAAGAAAGACAATCAATTGACAATTAGTTTCGATGATTGAGAGATTAACAAGAAAAGAGGAAAAGAAAATTGTTTCAATTGTTACTTACTTGTTATCATTGAATTCTTGCTTCAATCGCGCTAATTGCTCGGCTGTGAACGCTGTTCGAGGCCTTTTCTCATCGGCTTTTTTGTCCTTTTTTCTTAATTTTCTCGATCTTGGACCTTTACGAGAAAGTAAAACATAAAATCAAAATTAGTTTCAACTGGGATATTCAAAGGCACAGGTAATTATCAGTTGAATATTAAATATTTTCAATTCACTAAATGATAACACCAAGAGATGATCACCTAAACTAAATTCAATTATTATTACCATTACCTGATGAAGGTCTATCCGAGTATCTTGTACAGTAAATCCATGCAGGGTAATTTGAGTTATTAACAATTGCTGAGGTGGGTGAGGTTACCTGGCGATGGCTCGATCCATCGGAGGTGGTTGAGCACACGGAATCATCATCCCGCTCATTATTATTGAACGAGGTTCGACTTTTTTTGAAATGTTGGTCACTTTCACTGTCACAATCCAATGAACGTTTTTTATTATTTATTTTACTATTTAATTGATCAAAAGGATGATTAGTTGTTGTAGATGTGGATAAATTAATTAATGTATTGATACACTTTGAAGATGATGATGATTTAATTGATGAAGGTGATGAAGGTGATGAACTTGATTTGGTTAAGGAAAGTGCTGGTGGTGAAGATGATTTTGTAGACGATGAGGATGAAGATGAAGATGATGATAGAGATGATGATTTACACTGATGATGATGGTGATGATGATGATTATGATTATGATGATGATGAGAATTCACAATATTTTTCCTCAATTCTGGTGAATTGACTGGTGATGGTTTTGTTTTAATTGTTGTTTTGGTTGGTGATGGAGATGAAGATGATTTAATTGATGTTGACGATGGTGATTGTGGTAATGTTGATGCGATTAACTTTGTAATTGGTGATGTACAGTTATGATTATGAGTCGTGACAATATTTTTACCAAATTCTGGTGATAAAATGTTGGAGATTGAAAATTTCAAACTCTTTATTGAGTTCGTGGTGGAAAACACTGCAGACACCATCATGTGAGTGTGGGTGTTGTGAGTGTGGTGTCTGGTGGTGGTGGGAGATGGTGGGTTATCTTAACTCAACAGAATTCAACTGAATGAATAAAAATCTGAGAGAGATGAAGATGAAGATGAAAAACAAACTCAACATATCAACTTCTCATGCGCACTCACTTATCATCTTCTCTCTCATTGGTTGTTCTATCTTCTCTTTCTTTCATCTTCTCTCTCTCCTTTTCTCTTTCTCTCTTCTATACAGAAAGAAGATAATCTTCTCCCTCTCTCTCTCTTACTCTCTCTCTCTCATCAATTTGATTCATGATTGAAGATAATGATTATTTCCCAATAAAGTTAACATAATTATCATCGTAAAAAATTGTTCATCTACCTTCATGTTACCTTTGGTGTTGGTCAGTAATTCAGGATGAGATCGTAAACCAAACTGGCCACCGATACGTTAGTGAAACCTTAAATTTTCATCATCATCAAACGATTGATTGTAATTGATAAATCATATTAGTTTTACTTTTAATAGCATTTTCTTACCTTGGGTGATTGATTGGTAAGATGATAATTATAATCTCTCACCATAATAATCATCAGCTAATCACACAGGTAAATTGTTATCTTTATATTTTCATAGCATTTTCTTATGATAATAATATTTAATATCTTTTTTTTTCAACCGAAATTGAATATTTTTTTTTTATTTTACTCATTCTCTTACTGGAAATTAACTTTAATTATTATTGTGTTGTTATTATTTTCAGTTTGGGATTTTGATTGAGATGATAATAAGCTTATGATTAATGTTGAATAATTGTTGATGGAAATAATTTCTCACAGTGAAGAGAAACAAAAATTAAAAGGTAATTAAGGAAATGGTCAAGACTGGAAATACAAATACGTACACACAATACAATGACCTTGGTTCATATTCAATCATTAGGTTGTTGTTGTGTCCATCTTAATGTCCAGTTTGAATTTCTGGTTCTTTTATTATTATTTTATCTCTGTAATAAAATCATTAAGCTTCTGATTTTTGTCCAACTTTTTGTTTTCTCATTAAGTTGACAAAACTTTACTTTGCTTTATATATTTACAGGTAACTTTGCTTACCTTTTGCTTGCTTGTTATATATATGCCCTTAGGGGGATAAGACTCTTACCTATGGAAAAACATTTTTATTATTTTGTTCACCGATGGTCAAGTAAGATGATGATGATGATGATGATCCTATTTAAAAGCTGTAGTGACCATCATGAGTTTACCAATAAACATCATGTATAAAAATGTCTTACATTCATTTCTGTGGTTGGTTATGACCTTTGTGGGTGGTTAACATTTTGACCACCCTAACCCCCCATCAACTCAATGTCCACTCTGACCTTTATCACCATAGATTGTCATCATTATCATCAGTATCTCTCTTTCTTATCATTTGAGATGCTTTTTTCTTTTGGATATCTTTTTCCCTCTTCTCCTTGTTTGGGACAAAAAGTTTTATTACCTGAGAAACAAAAGGTAACGATACAGGTAAGACGATAATAGGATGAACCAATTATATGGGAAAAATGAACAGCAATTAGTATTAGTTAAGGTAATCGAAAGGTTTTAGAAAGTCAAAAATTCAAAGGTACATCTTTGAATGTCCGTCAACATAGAAAGTCACTAAGTTAAAGGTAGAAAAAGGTGAAGAAGAAGATGAGAAATAATAATGATGATGATAATAATTGGAGAGAACAAAAGAAAAAGGCAGAGAAGGAAGGAGGAGAGCAGAGAGAGAGAGAGAGAGAGAGAGAGAGAGAGAAAATTTCTTTCTCCCTATGGACCCAAAACAAAAGTCTCTCCTCAAGGGTCAAGGGTCTCCCATGTACATTGTGGTTCCTTTTTGTTATTGTTTAACCTTAAATTAGTTATCCTCATCCTCCCTCTTCCTCATCTTCTTATAAGGTCTGTATGTACATATGATTACTAGTTTTCTGTGTATAAACAATCAGCAAAGGAGCTGTTGGTCATTCAATGTTGTCATGAAAAAGGGTCACCCTCAGGTAACAGATAAACAGATAGGAGGTTGAAGGTGAACTTTCAACTTACAAAAATAACAAAACAAAAACATAAACAAGAGAAATAAAAGAGAGAGAAAAAGAAAGAAGATGAAGATGATGACGATGAGAGAGAGAGAGAGAGAGAATCATAGAAGCGAAGATAATCGAGTTAAAGGTAACCCTTAACTTTAGAATAAAAAGAGAAAAAAAGAAAGATAAGAAAGAGAATTTTCTTCGTAGCCCTTTACTCGTTACCCTCCGTGGGTTCGTGTACCTTTGGTGTGCCAATTATCAGTTTCTATCAGTTTTGTCTCTATTCATCATCATCATCTTCTTCTCATAATCATCTATGATCATCTTCACCACCCTATGGGTCAAGCTAATAATAATATCCAATGGATAACCCACCCAACAGAAAATGACTTACCAATAATAATAATCATCTTTATCATCATAATCATTATCCTCTGATAATAGTAATGGTCAAACCTTTAAATTTGAAAGTCAAAGAAAAAAAAAATTCAATTCGTTTCAGTTTACTGACCAATACATTGATTATCATTTGTTATGAGGTTTTTCTTACTCTTACCTTATCATCATCATCTCTTTTATTATTATGGTCAACAATTTAAACATAGCACCTTGGAGATTAACCATTATTACAGTAAATGGGATAATCTTTGCAAGGATAATCGCGATCCGATAATAAAACATTACTGAGACACTAAATTACTACTTATGATTTATTTTGTTAATGAGTAAAAATTGATTCATAAATTACTATCAACTGATTTATGGTAAATGAATCAAATTGTAATGAGACAATACAACTTTATCGGTTGAGGTTTTAATCCTGAAGATTAAAGAGAGATTAATATTTTTGAAAAGAAAGTAAATTTAAAGGTAAATCTAATTACGTTTAATTTTAATTACAATTTATCATCAGTTGATCTTCATGTTGACTAAGTGTGCATAAAGATGTTCATTTTATCTTCATCATTTTTCATCTTCTTTCACCCAGTCAAGAGAGAGAGAGAGAAGATTAAGATTAAGTCCTAGGTAATCTCGATCATCACCTTGGGTGGTCCTTGGGGTATCCCAAGGATGAAGAAAGAGAAAAAGTTGTCTTTCTTTTTTTTATTCGAATTTTTTTTGCATATTCATCTTCCTTTGTATCATCATCGTCATTATCGACATCCTCTCACTTTCAATTCCTCTTCTTCCCTTTCTTCATCTCTAACGATCTTTTCAATATCATCCTCATCCTTTTTCCTTCATCATCATCTCAGAAATTGTTTCATCATAATAATCATTTTAATCACTTTCAATGTAATAAGATAATTATTATAATTGTAACATGGAAAAAAAATTTCCATTTTTTTTTCTTCATGGAATCATAATTATCATAATTTCCATCTGAATAAAAAACATTAATTAACTTGATGATAATTATAATTTAATTACATAGCTAATTTAAAATAAAGCTATCAAACAATTTACAGCAATTAAATCAAATTAGATGATGAGACAAAACTATTAGCAATGAAAGAAAAAAAAATTGATACAAAATTCAATTGCAAATGAAATAATTACTAAATGGACAATGGTCAATTTGGTTTTTCTTTCATCTCAATCAACTAATTAACTCATTAACCAAAAAAATACAATTTCCATATTCATGTTGATCTGTCAAGATGATAATCAGCTGATTGATAAACAATTTGCTCAGAGAAAGTTATCTTATCATTTGAATATTGTTTCAATTGTTTGTAAACAATATTTACCCGCCATATGTTTGAATTTGAACATAGAACTGATATAATCTTGATTCTTGATGGATTTGTAAAGATAATCCAAAAGCAAAAGGATAAAATTGATTACAGGTAAGAAGAAGATGAAGAAAAATGGTCAAGCAATATAATGGAGGAAAGAAAACAAGAAATTAGTTCCGGTATCGAAATAAAAAAAGAGAGAAAATCGATAATTTTTCTATAATTGTATTCTCAGACTGGACATCTAAATAATGGTAATGATGAAGATGAAGATGATAAAAAGAATATGTAAACTTTAAGGTGATACAGGGAAAAGGTAAAGAGAAAAAGAGATAAAGAGAGAGAGAGAGAGAGAGATAACTATAAGGAGAAAAGAAAAAGTTTCTAACCCATCCTAAGGTCATTTAGGGTGAAATTCCTGTAGTAGATACACTGGACATTCACGATGGACACTTATCATTTACATCATTATCATGATCGTCGTTATTATCATATCGTTAGTTGTCAATGTATACAAAGAGAGAGAGAGAGAGAGATGGGACAGAAAGAGAACACGTTTGCAAACATATAAGAATATTTTTATTCCATAGGAAGATAAATATACATGGTACATGAATACATAGATACACAGAGAGATATATTATTCAAAAATATCTCTTTGAATCCAATTGGTAATAATACACATGGTAAACAAGCGAAAGGACAAAAAATAAGGTAACCATAGGGAACCATAGGTGGGCCTTGGAAGGAGAAGAAGATACAATGTAATCAATATCTTCTTTGTCTTCCTAAAGAAAGGGAAAAAAGACAGGGACTGTCAAAGAAAGAAAATCAAGAAGAAGATAAAGATGAGAAGAAGACGATTTCGGGTGCGAAGGGAGTCAATGGGAGAGAAGAAGAGAGAGAGAGAGAGAGCGAAAGAGAGCAACAGAACAAAAATGTCATATCAATGGAAACGATAATCTTTTTGATATTAGGAAGAGAGAGAATCACCTTTATCTTCCTGTTGCTTCTTCTTTTTTTCATCTCTTTCTCTTCCTCTGTCTTTATCATCTCTCTCTCTCTCTCTCACTTTTACATTGATAACAATTAGATGACAACGTTTACCAAACTACAATAGACAAGATATAAAAGCGACAACAAACTGAGAGAGAGAAAATTTTTTTTCATCATGAATCCCTTTTGTCCGAATCTATTTATCCAATGATATTTACTTTGATTATCATCATTATCATTTGGATAACCTTTGGATAAATAGATAATCTAATGCAGATTATGATGATAATATGACAATAAGGATAAGGCTAATATCTCATTCTTTTA